ATATGCATATATATATGGAAGACAAAACAAAAAACAAAGAAACAAAAACACTAAAACACTTATCTGTGGACTCAGTAAGTTTCTAAAATAAAGTTTAGGCAAGGTACAGTGGCTCACACCTCTAATCCTAGCACTTTGGGAGGCCTAGGTGGGAGGACTGCTTGAGGTCACGAGTTTAAAAGCCCAAACAACATAGCAAGGCCCCTTCCCCACCACAATCTACAAAAAAAAAAGTTTTTTAATTAGCCAGACATGGTGACAAGCCTGTAGTCCCAGCTACTCGGGAGGCTGTGGCAGGCGGATCACTTGAGCCCAGGAGTTAGAGGCCACAGTGGGCTATGATCACGCCACTGCACCCCAGCCTAGGCAACAGCATGAGACCCTGTCTCTATAAAAAGGAAAAAATAAATAAATAAAATAAAGTTTAGTGATGAGATAAAAATCCCAATTTGTTTAAATTGGTATTTTGAAGTTATGGTGGTTCTGCACTTAAATGCAAGGAGGAAAACTAAAATGAAGATATTGCCCACATTTGAACATATTTGGCAATAATCTGAGAAAAACCTTAAGTTGGCTGAAGGCGACAGTCTTTCCAACAACAATCTCCTACTTCACAAAATTTCTACAACAAAAACAGGTGTTTTATCTAGCATTACCATCAAACATAGTTAACAGCACAGGCTACATCTCCTGGGCTGAAATACTGACTCCACAGTTCAGATTCCCATCCCTATCTCATCTCAATAAAATCACAATTTTCTCAGGTTATAAAAGCCTCTAATGCTCATCCTTGCTCCTCCAGACTGTACGCTTATTAGCAGGCTAGGTTCTAGAGCCAGCAGAAATATACTGAGGCTCCAACATGTGCTGTATAATATACTGGAAGAAAATATGTATTACCAATTATGCTTCGAGGTCCCCAAGACCAACCTCAGGTCCAGTCATTTGCTAAGAAGATTCAAAAGATTCAATATACAGTTGTACTCATCTTTATGATTTAATATAGCAAAAAGATACTAAGCACAATCAGCAAAGCAGAAAGGCACAAAAAGTCCAGGGGAAATTATAAGCAAGCATCCAGGTGCTCCCGTTCAGTGGAGTTGCAATGAGCACGCTTAATTCTCCCAGCAGTGAGCTGTGACAACACATGTAAAATAATGCCAACCAGGGAAGCTCATCAGAGACTCAGGGCCAAAGATTATTAGGGAGACTAGTCATGTAGGTACCCCTGCCTGCCACATATGCCAATTCCAGAATCCCAGAAGAAAAGCAGATATTCAACATAAACCACATTCATTATACAAACAACTTAGGTACAATGACAGACTCTTATCACTTAGGGTGGTGGGCTCATCCCCAAGATCCCCCTCAGATGTTAGCCAAACGCTGTGAGGCCTGCTTTGTTAACTCTTTTCTCCACACCAATGACTAATAGATCCTTCTGAGCATGAACCTTATCTAACTATTCCCTGCTAATCCCCAGCTCCTAAAAAAGTGCCAGTCACCCCAGTCCAAGCTTTTTTTTCTGTTGCCTAGGCTGTAGTGCAATGGCATGATCTCAGTTCACTGTAAGCTCCGCATCTCGGTTCCAAGTGATTCTCCTGTCTCAGCCTCCCCAGTAGCTGGGATTATAGGCGTGCACCACCACGCCCAACTAATTTTTGTATTTTTAATAGAGATGGGGTTTCACCAAGTTGGGCAGGCTGGTCTCAAACTCCTGACCTCAATGATCCACCCACCTCGGCCTCCCAACATGCTGGGATTACAGATGTAAGCCACTGCTCCCAGCCTCCCAAAATTTTTTTAATGAAAAAATTCCTGGCTCCACTACTTTAAGTTCTGTGTTCCTCGATAATATTACCTACCTCAAAGGTTGTTTTGAGGATTAAATGAGTTAACATATGTAAAGTGTGAAGTATATCATCTCTTGTAAAAATAAAAAATAAAAAATAAAAAAAACTGTAATTTGTGAGCATATATGTAACGTTATTATTTGCTTTTTTTTTTTTTTTTTTAAACATTCTCCAGGTCACAATGGAGCTATCCTATCTCTAACTTCTAATCAATCTACCAATGTAAACATAGATTAGAACTGGTAATTGTTTCATGTCTACTGAGATCTCTAATTAGCTTGTAGACAACTATAACCCAAAACTTTTCGTTTTTGTCTTTTTTGACAAAGGCTGGAGTGCAGTGGCGCAATCTCGGCTCACTGCAACCTCCGCCTCCAGGGTTCAAGCAATTCTCCTGCCTCAGCCTCCCGAGTAGATGGGACTACAGGCGCCCGCCACCGCACCTGGCTGATTTCAGAATTTTTAGTAGAGACAGGGTTTTGCCATGTTGGCCATGCTGGTCTCAAACTCCTGGCCTCAGATGATCCACCCGCCTCAGTCTCCCGAAGTGCTGAAATTACAGTCGTGAACCACTGCAGCTGGCATCCAAAACTTTTTTAACACACACAGTAGTATCTAACATAGTACTTAATCTTTTTAGTGCCCAGAAAATATTGATTTATCAACAAAACTAAATGTCTGTAAAATTAACTGTGTTACAGTGGTAAGAATGTAAGGCAGTCAACTCTTCTGATAATAATTACAAAATGGCCTCCAAGTTTCTTTGATCTTCTTGCATTGAGAAAATTGAGCAACTGAACTAAAATGGCTTGATTCTAATCCTTGGAAAGACTATTAGCAGAAGAATTTGAAATAAGCAAAAGGGGCTGGGTGTGGTGGCTCACACCTGTAATTGCAGCACTTTGGGAGACTGAGGTGGGCAGATCACTTGAACCCAGGAGTTCAAAACTAGCCTGGGCAACATGATGAAACATAGTTTCTACAAAAAATACAGAAATTAACTAAGTGTGGTGGCACACATCTGTAGTCCCAGCTACTTGAGAGGCTGAGGTGGGAGGATTGCTTGAACGAGGCAGGCAGAGGTTGCAGTGAGCCTACATCGCACCTCTGCACTCCAGCCCAGCAACAGAGTGAGAACCTGTACCAAAAAAAAAAAACATGCCAAAGCCTTGAGTTTATAAAGTATATAATTTCAAATATTCCACTCTGCCTTAAAGAGAGCATGGATTCAAGTCCGTTATAGGTTAATAAAGTTGGAGAAAGATATATATACATATATATAGTACAACAACAATTTAGGAGATGCAAGTCTCCTTAACTAACGAAGTCAAGTACTGAAAGTGTTACGTTAAACAAACAAAAAAAAGACAAAGAAGAACTGTGAAGAACAAAAGGAGGGGAGACAACATGCTGCCCAAGTTTTAAACTGATGAGTCAGAGACCAATGGTTTCCTTCCCAGCTCTGATACCACGGCTCTGCACAATCAGGAAAAACCTCAAGATCAGCAGAATTACAAGAACAGACCCATCAGACTGAAGCTTCACATTTTGAGGAAACTTTTAGATTGGCAAATTTCTTTAAGTGAATTATAATCAGACTTTTACTTATATAAATTTGTCCTATAAGCATCAACAGCATAATAAACACCAGTCCCCAAGGTGAACTTTACTTTTTAGTAAAAATTACTACACTTTAAAATGTAACAACTCTAAAATATCAAAGACTTAATGAAAAACATGAACTCTTCGATTAGCTCTTACAATCAAATGGGCTCTACGTATTTATATTTTTTGAAAAGGTTATAAAGCTAAAAGACTCCCTTGAAAGCAAGGTATTCGACATAATTAGGTTCTGCCAATTATTTGCACATGGAAAGCACAAGTGGGACAGAGGCCACATTCCTACAGGAAGAGCAACTAACAAAAAACATCTACAGACACTAAGTGGTTGCAGCACCATCGGCCCTATTCCCCAGTCAGCATGCCAGTTTCATGGGTGAGAAGCAGCTATGACAGTGGGGCAGCCGTAGCAGTGGCGGTATGCGTGGCCTTGAAAGCAGTTCAGTAGTGGCTCCCTGACTTTCCCTCCTCTAGCCTTTCCAAGGACTTGGTAAGTACCTGATTCCTGAAAATAGCTACAGTGGATCTGTTTCCTGCTCTATACCCTGACTTATACATTGACATTGTGTGAATTCAGGTTCTCTTACCCTCTTCTTGGACCACTGTACAACATCTCCTAACTCAGGATTTGCCTGCAATCCTCACTATCCCAGTTCTTCCTCTGACCTGAGACTACCAAAACTGCTCATGCTTAAAGAAAGCTTATCTAGTAAGGGCCATATGGAAACTTCTTCTGTTCTTTCACACTGGTACATTTGTGTGTGCAGCTGTGTCCTTTAATTCCTTCTCTATCTGATGAAATCCCACTCCACCTTCAGAACGTAGCTCAAATGAAGACTCCTTCTGTGACTGTCCCAACAGGGTCACTCCACATGCCACTCCCTTTCACAGGTGCACTCCTTTTCACATACCCTGCTGACTGCCTGGGGCTCTGTGCTCATTCATTCACACATTCATTCATTCAAAAAATATTTGCTAAGTTACATTTACCTACCACATGTAATGAAAACTGGGGATACTACCCTAACCAAGATAAACAAGATCTGTTCTCTCTTGCAGCTATAATCCAACAGGGATATATTATACCCCATAATCACCTAAATAATGTTTAATTATAATTGTGATAAGTGCAATAAAAGATTCAGGGTGTTGTCTTTTATCTATAAATGGAAACCTAATCTAATCTCAGAGGATCAAGGAGAATTATTTCCCTTGAAAAGACATTTAAGCAGGAATTGAAAGATGAGCAAAAGCTGAGCAGGCAAAAACTCGTTAGAAAGCTTCCCAGGCAGAAGAACAGCACGTGCGAAGGTCTTGAAACAGCATTCTAGGAACTGTAAAGACCACCAGTGGGCAAAAGTCAAGGTGCAAGGGGAACAACAGCCTAAAATGAGTTTAGAGGTAGTTATTTCTTACAACCATTATTACAAGTACTTAGCACATTATTTTAGAATTATTTACTTGCAAAAACAAAACCCACACTAAACAAACTCCTTTAGGTCTTACAAATTTTTTTAGCTCTCTTACCTAATACAGTATCTAACAGTGTGTCTTCAAGTCAAGATCTGTGGAATGAAGAAACGAGTGTTTGATGTGAGCAAGGAGCTTACCCTCTCAGTATCATACAGGCTAAACAAAACAATCTCCAGAGTTAAAAAACCTTATGTTTCTGACTACCCAAAATTGAATGGGCAAGAGACTCACTTTCATACCAATTTAAATATGCTCAAAAACAAACCTAGTAAAAGATGCATCAATAGACGGATAAATTGTGGTCTGTCCATACAATGGAGTATTATTCAGCCATAAAAGGAATGAGGTACTGACACATTACAAAATGAATGAACTTTGAAAACATATTAAGTGAAAGTCAGAAACAAAAGTCCATACGTTGTATTACATGAAACATCCAGAACAGGCAAACCTATAGAGATAGAACATGCAATGGTGTCTACCAGGGGCTAGGGAGAGCGGACAGTGGGAAGAAACGTCTCAATGTGAATTTTATCTGTATGCTTTTTTTTTCCCCCGGGATGGAGTCTTACTCTGTCAACCAAGCTAGAGTGCAGCAGTGCGATCTCCACTCACTGCAACCTCCGCCTCCCAGGTTCAAGCAATTCTCCTGCCTCAGTCTCCCAAGTAGGGATTACAGGCGCCTGCCGCCGCACCCAGCTAACATTTTTCATATTTTTAGTGGAGACAGGGTTTCACCATGTTGGCCAGGCTGATCTTGAATGCATTTCTGCATTTTTAAAATCTCAGAAATATACATTAACAAGCATGGGGTATGTCAGTGTGGTGCCTGCCAAGCCCAGTGATGTTTTCTAGGAGCCCTACCCACTAGTTCAGGCCACTCCTGATGTCCAGCACAAGATGCCCTGTTCTGAGCCTGTGAAAGAATACAGAAGTGGGAAAAAAAAAAAAATCAAAGCTAGGATTACCTGTAGACAACACTTTAAATACTGAAAACTAACCTTGAAGCTGGCAAGGCGTTCTCAGTCCTCACTGCTCCCTAAAGTGTCACCAACTAATAACCAACAAGAGCTGCTTTAAACTCCCACTGAGTCATGAATGCAGCTAGGAGAGAAGAGGAGTAGTTCCATCTGCCTGTTCTTAAATTCCCCAGTTGTTCAACAGATTTGGTAAGAGCAGCATCAAGAGCAGGAAACTGGTGCCTATGCCATCCTTTTCTCCTTCCTTGCTTCTTAAATACTGTCAATCCAGGAAACACAAGCTGGTGATTCAGTAAGAAAATGTCAAAACCCAATTGACATACCTCTACCAACTATTATAAGGCAAGATAATACAGAGACCTCAAATCCTAAGCTTTAGTTTCGGTACATATTCCCAAAGATCAGTGGAAGAAGCTTCTTTAAAAGAAAGAAAATTAAGTTAACTGGGAAATAACTTTGAAATACAGTACATGAAAAGTTTGATGCAATTTACTAGACAGTGAAGAAAACATCAATACATACACAGAATGAAACTTCTTAGTAACCGAGCTGTAGAGTAAGATCCTTAACATATCTTTTAAAAGTACTACATTTATTATGTCATCCTAGCATATAGATCCAATCATGTAACAAGCCAAGAATTCTACTAAAAAAGCCTCCATAATGTACTTCAACCTTACCAAATACTCAAAAACTGCGAAAATATATTTACATCTATTGCTCTATCATGTCAAAATTTTCAGTTACAACTATGAAATCAAGTCTAATTAAGCCAACAAGTGGCCTTACCTGTGATTTTTTGCCTGAAAGATCAAGATAACACATTGAAATAATTTACGAGATCATTTTAATATTCTTCTAGATTTAGTAGCAACAACAACAAAAAAATCCTTGTAAATTATACTGTGGAGTGCATGCCCTTCAAGCTGCACCCTTGTATTCTTGATACCATTCTCTTCTCTCCCACATCCCTCACTTCTCAAAACAAGTAAACCAACAAAAGGCCAGACAAAACCAAAATACAAAAGACATTCATTCAGTATATATCGTGGCAATACAAACATTGAGCAAAACGAATACTTCCTATTCTTCAGGTCCAAAGAAGTAAAACTTTTCATCCTAATTTAAGAAGTACATGATTCTCTTCTCCCCACCCCAAAAGAGTACATGAAAAAAAAAAAAAGTTAACATGGTTAATAACGGCTTTTAAAAATCTGTATTATTTTAGAAAGCATTAGTGAAAATCTGATTTTATCAAGTACTTTTCTGGAAACAGAAATTTGAACAAAAATTAAATTATTTTTAACGATGTCTGTAGATGAAGGAAGGTTAATTCTGAAACTGTTACTATTCAATTTTTAATGAACAGATTTAATATTTACCAGCATCTCTACTTAATCATGTTATTACTCAAAATGACAAAATGTGTACTTTTTAACTTCAGCTTCTTTCTTCTTCTTGGCCTTTTAAAAGACCATTTTTCAGTGTTTTACTAGTGCAGTCCATGAAGAGCAAGCGACTGAGCCTCAATACAGTACAGAACTCCCAAATAGCCACACACAATCAAGTTACTAGGAAAACAAATATTACAAGAACCAGGCATGCACTTTGTAAAAACTCATCACCTGAAAAGGTTACACAGGATAAATATAATTTTGACTCAATCAAGTTACTATATTGAAAAGTGCTTCATAAAAATAATCTAGTTACAGTATTCCCACTTGATTCTTCCAGTAATTCAGTACCTGTTATGACAGTGAAGAAACCTGCTGATGCTGTGTGGCTCAGTCTAGTCAAATATTACCAGTCTACTGAAATGTGACTCATTTATATAGTATTGAGAAAGAACAGTAAAGCTTCAGGAAGAGTCTAAGTCAAATAACACAGAAATCGTAAAGGACATTCCCCAAAGAGACTGTCTCCTGCTTTGGAGAACTACCCTATTTCTCGCCCAATAACGAAATAAACCAATTAAAAATAGACGCAATCTTTTATTAACTACACAAGACATTTTTTTTAAAAAAAAATTAGAAATGTTTCCGATGAGATTACTTGCAAGACATTAAACATAAATCAGATCTCCAAACACAAAATATAGCAGCTAAAAATAGTATATCTATTTCAAAGGCTGAGGCAGAAGCCCTCCAACTGAACAAACTAAAATTAGGTCTTTTCTGTCTCTAGATCTTTAAAATGAACCTTCAACATTTATGAGGTACACAAATCAGTGTCCACACATTCTCCCAAACTAGCTGGTCAGAGAAAACCTAATTACTAAAATCTTCAGAAATATAAACCCACTGTCCTCCAAGAGATTCATGTAATGAAATTCCTCTTCATTCTGGCTAATAACCAGACTAAAAAACAATACTACTACTAATAAAGACCTTTCTCCAATTAATTTATTCCGTAAAACTCAAATCCACCGAAAAAGACCACCATACTCTTTTTCAAGAGGCAGAGACAAGAGCCTTGTACAAAAGCTGTCAGGTGGGGCAGGCAGGTAGGGCTCTGTCTGGGAGACCAAGAATCCGGACCGGAGAGGGAGGACGTGGTCACACCGGAGGGCAGAAGAGGGGATCGAGACCTAAGGGCGGCCCCACCCACAGAGATAGCTATGAGCAGAGCTAGGAGGGCAACTCTCTAACCCTAAGCTCTGCCCAGACCCGCGTCCGGTTCCGCGCTCCCAGCCCCGCTCCTACCCTCAGCCCTGTGGAGGGTCCGAGCATCGCTACTCCGGCACCTGCTCAACCCAGGGTCGGGGAGGAGGGGAGGCTGGGGCCACTGACAGGGCCTGCGAGCCTGACCTCGCCGCCGCCGCCGCCTCTGGCGGACTTGAGGGTCGACAGGAGCCCCGCGCCCGCCCGCTCAGCCACCCGCCCTCCAGTCAGGGCAGGGGCCTGCCGGCAAGCCGAGGCATCCGCTAGGGCCCTGAATGCCGCAGCGGCGGGAAGGTCACCGGTCGCAGGAGGCCCCGACCGGGGCAGCGACGACGTCCAAGCTACCTTTGGCCTCGCAGTCGGCGCAGTACTTGTTGTCCTCCTCCCTCAGAAGCTTGGATAGGATGAGCTGGTGCTGCTCGTTCAGCTTCTGAGCCTTTTCCCGGCAGGAGCGCGTCGCCATCTCGGCAGTGGGGCGGGGAGCCCAGGGCAGCTACGGCGGCGGCGGACGCTGGCTGGAGCCGGGCAGAGTGAACGCACCTGGCGCCGCCGGGACCGCGGGCTGGCTTAGCCCAGGAAGCGGCGGCGGCAGCGGCAGCTGAAACAGTAGGAGGGGCGGCGGTGGTAGCGCCGACGTGTCCCGCCTCCTTGCCCGGCCGGCCGGCAAGCACCACCCGAGCCGGCGAGGGGAGGGGGAGGGGGAGTGGGACGCGCCGAGGCTTCCGGGTGGCGCGGAGGAAGGGACCCGGGTGCCGGGCGCGCTGCGCATGCGCCGAACGTACGCGGCCCGGCCTGCCGGATCTTTCTGCAAAAAGGCCTTCTGCCCAAGGTGATTCCTGAAAAGTAGCTGGCACTGCCTCATGCAGGTTTTCCTCCCTTTTGAGATGTGATGGTCCGCGAGGGCCTCGAGTAAAACTCGGTAATGGAAGACCTTTTACAAGGAGGCTACTTTGACTTGCCCATTTGCCTTTGCTCTTGCTGGCACAACATTGGAAATGCAGAAATACTAGCGACTGGGTGGGGTCATTTACTCATTCGAGGTTTATTCGCCCGCAGTTTAGAAGCTGGAGACACGGATGGAATAAAAGAGGAAAAACGGTCTCTTACATTTTAAGGACGAGAAATAATCTAGTAGTGACATGTATTAAGGGATAACATTTCATTGAGTGATTACTCTGTTACGAACTATTAGCTCATTTAACCCTTTCCCCAACCTTATGATATTGTTGTCCTCATTACACAGAGGAGGAAAGTGAGGCATAGAGGAATTAAGTAACCTGCCCAGATTACAGATCTACTAGTGGGGGAGTTGAGATTCAAATCCAAAGCAGTCTGATTCCAGAGTCTGAAACACCTGACTGTAAGCCCTTCCATAAGGGAGAAAGTGTGACCAGGAACCCAAATACTCGACGGTGATACTTTAACAAGAAGCTGTGTAAATAGTGATCATTAATGCAAGAGAAAGAGAACTAAAGAAATGAAACACTTTTCATTGGAACCCAGACCCTAATCCAGGCTCATGAGGTTTCAACTCTGGGTGAGGCAGTTTCAATGATTTGGCATGTTGTATATTATGAGGAAGTTCTAATATGGGATTTATACAAGCCCAATACACAGTCCTTGCTTGCGGTGAGGCAGATGCTAAGAAAGGCAATCAGCAAGAGTCGGTCTTACGCTTTTTAGTAAGGCTAATTTCTAGCCGCTGGCCCTGCCTAAAAGTGACCCTCATTGCTACCTAGCCCTGTTCTTGGCACAGGGGCTCAAAAAAATGTTGGTGGAATTAAATTGAATGGATATGGCAATAAAGATGTTCAGTAATTAAACAAATTGGAGCTTAAACTGCATAGCTCTGACACATAGCAACTAGAGAGATATTGGTGAGTTCAAAAGAACAGAAAAAAACCTTATGTGGGAGGGAGAATTTATGAGCCTTGTCCTGAAGATATGCTTGATT